AAGAACATCCATGGAAGCAACATGTAGCAGACATAAATTGTCACCAAAAACTGAGCTAAGAATTTGGAAGTTTTATAGCATTTAGACTGTCTGTGTGTGTGTGTGTGTGTGTGTGTGTGTGTGTGTGTATACATGTATACATACATGTGCCATAGTGCACATGTGGAGGTCAAAAGACAACTTTCAGGGCTGGAGAGGTGGCTCAGTGGTTAATAGCACTGGCTACTCTTGTAGAGGATCTAGGCTTCATTCACAGCACCCACATGGTGGCTAATAATCATTCAGAACTCAGTTCCAGGGACTCCAATGCCCTCTTCTAACCTCCACAAGGATTGTACAACATGGGTGCACTTACATACATGCGGGCAATACTGTCACACACATAAAATAAAAATAATATATAAAATATATTTAAAAGACAACTTGCAGGAATCAGTTCTCTCCTTCTACCATGTGGATCCTGACAATTAAACTCAGATGATCAGGCTTCACAGAAAGTGCCTTCACCCACTGAGCCCAAGAGCTAGGAATTCCTAAAACTTATAAAGCAACTAATTTTATAAAATAAAAATACAAAATAAAAATATAAATCCTTGGGAATGGTATAGTAGAGTTATAGAAATGAATAAATCCTTACAGAGCTTAGTTTTTAATTTTTAAATTTTATTTTAATTTTATATGTGTGAGTGTTTTGCCTGCATGTATGAAGTGCACCATGGTCATGCCATGCCTGCGGATGTTGGGAATGGAGCCTGCGTCTTCTGCAAGTGCAGATAGTGTCCTAACTGCTGAGCCATCTCTCCGGTCCCATTAACTGAATCTTTTCATGGCCAAGTGGAAGAAAAACCGTGAGCCCTGAGATGTGTGGCATGTTGCTCTTTTCCTTTTGCTATAGAATTTAACACAATCATATATGAATTAGTTTATTCATTTCAACCAGATTTAGATCCTTAGAGAACACCATTTGCCTAGTATATACTACATAACAATGTGTAGATATCAGACAGGATATGCAATCTGTCATAAGGAACTGTCTTGTTTTGCCAAATACCTGAAGATACAGAATCACATATGTGCTCAACCAGGAGAAACAGTATCCCCAGATGGCCTGGAATTCACCACGTAGACCAAGCTGTCCTCAATCTCACAGAGATCCACCTGCCTCTACCACCTTTATGCTGAAACTAAAGGTGTGGGCCACTACACCCAGTTGAGAAATATCTTCTAAAACACAGTATTTTTGACCTTTCATCCAGACTACTGCATCCTGTAATCAGATGGCTACTTTTTCAGTAACTTGAATGGATCTCTGTGAGTTCAAGGCCAGCCTGGTCTACATAGTGAGTTCCAGGACAGCTGGGGCTGTTCAAAAAAAAAAAAAAAAAAAGACAAAAAAGACAAAAAAAAAGTCCTATGTCCGAAGTTTGACCTGTCTTCAGCAATAGGATCTTACATAGAGTTCTGAGAAACAATCAAGGGTTGTGGCAGTAGCCTGTGTTATTTTGGGAGTCTCTTGGATTAACCTAACAACTCAAAGGGAGGTTTCTCCTGCCTGTCACTGTTTTTTTGCTATATAGCCTTCAGCTACACACAAGCACTTATATATTTACTGTATGTGTATTTTTCAATAGGGCTTTGAACTAATACTTTTTCCTCTGGTTTTTCACACCACCTACACATCATTTATCTCATCTCTCACCCCCCCCCCAGTAAAACCGTCACTACTCCCTCCACAGTTAAAAACAACTTTTCCTCATTCCCTTTAATAAACTTGTCTCCTACTATGCCCCTCTCTCCAGTTCCTTCTTCTCCTTTATCCCCATGATTCCTTTCCATTTTTCTGGCTCCTGTGGTTACATCAGGATATATACTCACATCCAGGAATTTGGAGCTAAGATCCACACACGAGAGAGACCATATGTCAGTTGTTTTCTGAGCCTATGTTACTTCACTGAGTACAACAGTTTCTAGTTCCACCCATTTATGAACAGATTTCAGGGTTTCATCTTTCTTTACTGCTGAGTAGATCTCCATTGTGTACATGCACCACATTTTTATTATCTATTCATCAGTCACGGGACGTTTAAGTTGTTTCCATTTCTTATCTACTGGCAGCTGCAGTGGGGGAGGTGTGCATAGAAAACGGAATCTAAATACCATCAAACTCTATTGTACGAAAATTGCAAATATTCAATAAAAATAAAATAATCAAAATATCAATATAGCTTAAAATAATTATAGTGAAAAATTCAGCCGGAAGTGATGAAGATAGAGGCAGGTGGGTCAAGATTGACTACAAAGCAAATTTGAGGACAACCAGGGCTACATTAGAGATCTTGTAAGAAGGAAAAGAAAAACAGAAGAATACAGACTCACAGAGAGTCCTAGTTTGTTTCTTCATTGCTGTAACAAAACACTCTGACCACTACTAACTTGGGGAGAAAAGGGTTTATTTGTCTTACATCTCTCAGGTCACAGTTCATCAGGGAGCCCAAGGTAGGAACTTAGGGCAGGAACCTGGAGGAAAGAGCTGGAGCACAGGCCATGGAGGAGCATTGCTTACTGGCTTGCTCCCCTGGCTCCTGCTCAGCCTGCTTTCTTACACAACACAGGCCCACCTGCCCAGGGGTGGCACCACTTGCCCACATCACCCAACAATCAAGAAGTTGCCCCACAGACATGGCCACAGTCCAGTCCTATGGAAGCAAGTCCCCAATTCTGGTTCCCTCAACCGAGGTGTGTCAAGTTGACACTAATGCTATCTACCACACAGAGCTAGCCAAAAGATCCAGTACATGTGTTGTTGACATACCTAGAAAAGGAAAGACTATTTGAAGAATTGGTTCCACAATGAGAGCTGAAATTTGGGGGAAGAAGAGAGAGGAAGGCAAAGGTCTTAAAACTGCCTGGCATAGAAGAGTTTCCAATTCTTATTTTATAACTTGTTCACTGTAACAGTAATATTATAACTTTATTTTCTTTTTCTTTCTGGCATAATGTCTCACTATGTTTCTCGGCACAACCCCATACCTAGGCTCAAAGAATAGTCCTTCCTCATCTTGAGGAAACATAGACTAAAAGGTGAACAACACTGTGATAACCCACTAATACTGTTAGTATAGTTGATCCTCACAGTGTCTCTAATAGGAAGTGTCTCCCAATTGGCTAGTTCCTCCAATGGGCAGGGCCTGGTGGACTATGAAGGGGCTTCTGGGAGTCATCTTGGAACAGAAGCTGCTAGCTGTGGGGAAGCTGTGAGCTGGGGGTAGCCCGTGTCCAGCAGCTCAAGGATAGAATGGACTGACTCTTGTGGACCTGGGGCAAGATCGCTGTGCCCTGAGGTGTGAGCAAATGCTAGTGGTGACTACAGTAGTTGTGGCACAGTCTGATAAGGCTGGCTCTGAGCTGAGATGCTGGAGGCACGGGGCTAGGCGCTGGGTACTCATTCCTTTGTAAGTTAATAAATGCATATAAAATATATTATATAGTTTGTCTGATCACGCAGGAGACCCAGAGGGAATTCAGGTGGCAGGAAGTAATATCACAATCAACATTAACATCATCATTATTATTCTTAATTTATCTTTTTATATATAAACAAGCGAATTCTCTGAGATGACCCAGGAATAGAAACTGCAGAGTATACAGCCAGGGTTCAGAAGACAAATGTGTCTCACATACAAAGACTTGTGATGCTCAAGCAGGCTCCGGAGGGTGGAATCAAGTCCTGCAAGCTGTGCTGGACACCAGGGCTATCCTTGACATTACCACCACTGTCATGTCCAGCCAGGTTCTCCTACTGACAGGTCTCTTCAGAAACAGGAAGTGTGTTTCCTGGTTCTCCCTGAAGCCCAGAGACACACATCTTTCCTTCTTCAGCACCAGCTGCCAACTCAGCTCATTGGCCATCTGTGAGCCATCCTGCTTTGTAGCATCTTCTCCATCTGTGTAGTGCTTGGGTTCCATCTCACTAACCTGGATGTTGAGGGTGTTAGAATAAAAGTGCAAGGCTGCCCGGTTCCTCTTCCTACCATGCAAAGACATACATTGGTGATCATGGTCCATGAGGCCTGGTTCATCAGCTTCTGGACCAAGCCAATGTACCAGAGTGAGCATTTCACAGTTAGTGAGGTGATATATCTATGGGGACAACATCAGGATCCTCCTCCATTTTGGTCAGGACATAATCCACATTCTTTCCATCTTCATTCTCAGGGATGTGGGGGAGTTGAGGCCAGGAATGGGCCTGATAGAAATAGTATTTCCCTTGGTACTTAACAGGAAAGCAAAGGAGGTTGCAGGATTGCATGCTCATCGGGTCATCTGGCTGAGCACCACAGATGTTCACAGATGTGGTTAGGAAGCTTTTGAGACTGTGGCAAATGAGAGGATGCCACATAGCACAAATCACACAGACACTGCTTTCTTTAAAACAGCTAGGCTATCCAAACAGGGCTCACATAAGATGAGGAAGAACTCCCCCTATCTTCCATTTATGAACACATGTGAAACCTGCTTCCTAGTTAAGAGCCTGTGACCGCCACATGCTCACCATGGCACGCGCGCGGACACACACACACACACACACACACACACATACACACACACAAACTAAATTAATATATATTTTAAATGAACAATATTATTCGCTCCTCAGTCACCTTTTGAGAAATCTAGCACACAAAAATAAAATCATTCAGGTTATAGACAGGTGGAACTACATGTTTATTGACGCATCATCTTAATGGCAACACTCTAGTAATGACCTACAGGGCAATAATAAAAAGTCAGCCAATAAACTGTGTGTCACACATGTTATAGAAACATGTACCTTTTAAAAGACATTAACTACAGTATTAAAATAGAAGATATTCCAGAATGTTTTCAAACATGGAGATATCAAGAAATAAAATTCTTAGCAAGAAATTTGTTCTGTTTTAACCCTTTTATAAATTCATAGAGTTTAATTTGGTGGCCTCAAGCACCATGCTTCCAACATGTCAAGCCATGTGTAGAGCCACTTTTCTTCTCCATAATTTCATGACAGATCTTTTCATCTCATTGTTTCTCAAGCTGTAGATAAGTGGATTCAGCAGAGGGGTCAGCAGTGTGTAAGCCAGGGACATCAGTTTCTTGGTGTCCGGTGAGTACTTGGATTTGGGCTGTAGATAAGTCATACTGGCTGTGCCATAGAAGAGGGTGACAGATGTGAGGTGAGAGGCACACGTGGAAAAGGCCTTCTGCCTCCCGGTAGTGGAAGACATCTTCAGGATGGCAAAGATGATGCGAATGTAAGACAGGAGGATCAACAGGAAGGGAACCATGGCAATCAGAACGGTGCCTGTGAAGGTGTAGATTTCAAACAGGAAGGTGTCTGCACATGCAAGCTCCAGCACAGGGGGAGTCTCACAGAAGAGATGATTGATTTCTTTAGAGCCATAAAAGGGGAAGCTAAACACCCACGTGGTCTGTACAGTAGCCACCATGATCCCTGAGACCCATGAGAATATTGCTAATTTCATAAAAACCCTTTTGTTCATGATCACTGGGTAGGATAGAGGATGGCAGATGGCAGCAAAACGGTCATAAGCCATTGTCCCAAGGAGAAAACATTCCGTCCCACCAAAGAGAAGAATCAAATACATTTGTGCAAAACAGCCCCCAAAAGAAATGGTCGTTTTCTCAAGGGTCAGGACCACCAGCATTTTAGGTGTGATGGCTGTGCTAAAGCACAGGTCCACTATGGATAAATTCTGAAGGAACATGTACATGGGGATGTGGAGACTCTGGTCCAGGAAGATGATGGCAATAATGATGGCATTTCCCATGAAGGTCACAAGATAAATAACCAAGAAGGCCCCAAACATCTGCCCTTGGAGTTCAGGAAAGTTAGAAAAGCCCAAGAGGGTGAATTCGACCACAGAGCTGTCATTCTGACTCTTCATTACCAGAAAGGAATCCTGTATTGTTCTTAGGGGTAGGACATGTAAGAATGAAATCACAGTCCCACAGCTTCAGCTTCCATTCACCCCAGAAACTCTGGAAAACTGTGACAGGAAGAAACCATCCACACGAAAATATCCATTGCCAATTTGAGTAGTTAGACACTTGCTTTAGTCAATCTTTGAAATACAAAAAAGAGAAGAATTCTGGCTTTGAAATGTGGCCTGAAATATATAAAATACTGTCAATATTCTATTGCAAGATGTGCCATATATAGTGTGAAAATTACATGTAATTTTAAAATAAATATAAATTATATGCCTTCAGTTCTGATCCCACACCATTGTAATGCGTATTATTTATTTTACTTAGTTATAGGTAAATATGAAATTTAAGACCTCAGAAATAAAATGTAAAAAAAGCAGATAGATTTAAAAAGCTAGTCACCAAATTTTCATAATAACCAAATATTCTGAGTTCTTAATTATGTATATTTATTGAAGTATTAATTATCAGAATAAAAAATGAATGAAATATTTTGACAGATTTGTTCAACATCCATAGGAACATACAGAGGGGTTTGTATTTTAAATGTACCTTTATTAGGTGACACCTATTTAATATTTGAATTGGTTTCATGCTTATAGATATCTGTCCAGAATTAGAATGTACCCAAATATGATATTTTGAGGGATAAATGTCCAAGCCCTCTTGCTTGTGATCACAGTGATTTAAAAAAATATTTTATTTATGATTTTTACTGTATGAGTGTACTGCCTGCATGTATGTTAGTGCACCCTGTCATGCAATGCCCATGGAGGTCAGAAGAGGGCATAGTATCCCCTGGAACTGGAGTTGTGGACAGTTGTTACCTGCCATGTAGGTGCTAAGAATTGAACTCGGGTCCTCTGCAAGAGCAGCCAATGCTCTTGTCTGCTGACCCATCTCTCTAGTCCCCACAGTAATTCTTTAAAGCCCATTTGAAGTTGATTGTGGAATTGTGAGTTGAGTTTCCACTCATCCCCCTCTGTCTCTTTCTTCCTTCTCTCGACTCCCCTACTCATTCAAAACTTCATGATAACATCAATAATCCCCACACTCTGATTAACTACCATTTATTTCTAGTCTCTGTATGGTCACAAACACATTAGAATCTACAGATCAAGAGAAGCTAAGCATACTACGTGCAATTGGCATGATTCTAGACCAGAGCGCTAGATAAAAACAGTGCCTCCCACAGCCCAGAATTCTACCATGTTCTCCTACCTCTATTCTACCCCACTATTAATAACTGACCGGATATGTTCATTTATAAAAGCCCAACCCCCAACTACAGCAGAGCATACAGAGAACAAATCTGTGTGTGCCTCTTAGTCATGTGCACAATGCCATGACAGTTCTTGGCCTCAGGAGAGACATTAAAGTAATATTTCAAGAATAACAAAACTAGAAAAGTCTTGACCCTATCTTTAATGAATAAGATGTATAAAGTGAATCAAGAACATAGCACAATGCAGAAAGAATTGTGAAGTAATAAGTTTTGAAGTGAGAGGAAGAGGTAGCAGCCCCCACCACAGGATGCCATGGTGAAAGGACCCCTAAGTGAGAGGAGGGGCAAGGTGGAGGACTGACTTGCTCAACTCGGAAGGTCCCAAGTTGATACAACAGGGCTGCAGTGGCACCTGCTGTCCTATGTGTGATGCTCTGAAATCCAGAACAAATTCACCAGGGGAGGTGAGCAAGCCAGGAGCAGATAGACTCAGTCCACTGAAGATGTAAAATGTTACTGTCTTCAGTGCAGATCTAGGGAGCATTAGCAAACTGTGGAAAGTAATATTAATTCTCGACTTTCACCATCTTTATACATTCAAGTCAAATGCTTGCATCAACCACAATGCTCACATACAGTTAGTTTTTATCCCCAAACAAATATAAAACAGACTCTGCTGACCAAATACTCAAATTATTTTCCAGTGACAGAAACATAACAATGTATAGTCGGTTCTAAAT